AACTATTTTTACGTATCAAAACGCAGTGATAAGAAAGTTATGGCACGATTAAAGTATATAGCCCTTCACCAATGAGTTATAACTCGTACTGTATCCAACTACTTTTCTTTGACAAAACAATAATATTAAATACTGTATCTTACTACTTAAGAAATTGTACACATGTTTTTGTAGATTTTTTACTGATAAGCGCCCGACTAATCCAGGATATTGACAAGGTAGCTTATGCAATATCATTACTAGTATAACGCATTCGATCACAGCCAAGTGATAAAGTAGCACGCTCTAAAATCAAAATAACTTTATGCACTTTTCCAATTAAAGTATTGTAAATAATAATCAAAGTTTATGTGTGTGGCTGACTTTCTCTAATGCGAAATCGCTTTATTTGATTTTTTGACGACGACAGCATAATTTGGTTTGGAATGGGAGAGAAATTAAATAAAGAGTTTTGGTATAAAATGAAGAAAGAAAAAATATAAGAGTAAGAAGAAGATGCTGAAGAGAAATGAGTGATGATGAAATGATGGAGACAGTAACACAGAGAGGAGTGGGTTGCGTGTTCCTCGCGAGTTTCTTTCTCTTTTCCTTTTTTTTTTTTACCCTGAGAACTAAAAAAAAAGACAAATCTACCAGAAAAACCATAGATAGTGAGACAAAGATTTTTTGTGTCTTGAAGATCTATCTATTGTTCTTGTATTAACAGATCCTTGTTGAAAAAGTCGTAGGAGTTTAAACCTACTCGCTGTTTATTTTACATTGAGAATATATGTACTCATGTACATAGTTGTCTTCATATGCGGTTAAAAGGAAGCAGTGTACGTACGTTCTTATTAGGTTAAGCTAAACTAAAAGTTCAGTTAATGAAAATCAAATTTGGGTTAATTCAATCATTGTTAAAGCATGAGCATCGAATCTTATACAATAGATTTACATGATATGTGAAAAAAGGAAATAGAAAAGATATTTGTATAAGTAAAAGATTTCACTTTATAAGAAAGAAAAAAGGTGGAGGAAGATTGTGCAGTTCACTGTCACTTATTTCTGACGAAATTGAAGTGAATCGTTCCCCCCATGTTTTATGGGTTTGGGTTTTCCCCTCTGAACTCGTTGCTTTTAACACTCTGTCTCTCATTTCAACATTTACATATTTTATATAGACTCACACCACCACCCGAATCTACAATCCGTAATAACTAATTTACAAAATAATAGTAATCTAACTGAAGTAGAATGATAAGAATATACTACTGTCTATCTAACTAATAACTTCGTTATACGTAATGGAGATAACTTTGTGTAGGGAAAAAATAAACTTTGTATCAGTAGTATATTAGAGGGTTAATATTTTCAACGCACGATGGGCAATATGCATACATTAGATGATTAGAATACGATAAATGATGGACAAAATGCAGCTGTTTGTGTAGTCTACAGTATGCTCTCACATTTATAGAATCTCTTCAAGGCCTAAACAACTTAATCTATATATATATATATATATATGTCATCCCATTTTACTATCCAAAATGAGAAGAAAATTGTACCTAGCATGGATAAAATCATTTTTGCTTATTATGTTATTTAGTTCTATGTGGAATACTAGATTAATAAATAATCAATTAAACAAATAATCCGAATGTTATGAATAGTGGATGGTTGTAATAGTTAAATAAAATGAAAGAATCAATTTTTGATTATTTTACTATTTAGTTTTGTGTGGAATACTAGATCCACAAATAATCAATCAAACAAATAATATAAGATGATGAATGTTGGGTTAACCATCCATCAATGACATAGAATTATTAAATCAAATGATGGAAATTTTTTTTATTATTATTTAATTTTATGTGAAATATTAGATTAACAAATAATCAATCAACCAAATAATCCAATGTTATGAATGTTGGAGTAACCATCTATCTAATGAGATAATCACTAAATCAAATAATCAAATCATTTTTAATTATTTTATTATTTGTTTTTTTGTAAAATATTATATTAATAAATAATCAATTAAAAATAATCAAACATTATGAACGTTAGATTAACCATCAATCTAATGAAATAGAATCATTAAATCAAATGATGGAAGCATTTTTTGTTTATTTTATTATTTAGTTTTGCGTGAAATAGTAGATTAACAAAAAAATCAATCGAACAAATAATTTAACGTTATGAATGTTGGATTCACCATTCATCTAATACAATGAAATCATTAAATCAAATGATGAAATTATTTTTACTTATTTTATTATTTAGTTTTGTGTGAAATACTAAATTAACAAATAATCAATCTAACAAATAATCATGTAATGAGAACAAGTATCATTATGATTAAATAGTATGTTGCTAGAACACCTCTTTTGAATGAAAGAACTTATAAATGTTATTCAGTATTTTTGTAAAAAAAAATAACACAAAACTAAATAATAAAATAAATAAAAAGTGAAATTTAAGTAAAATATTAGAAAGATTAAAAAAAACTAAACAAAACAAGATGACTAGATGCATTATATTTTTATCAATGTTCACTTCTTATCATATATAATCAATGAAATAACATTTTATATTTTAATAATTTATAACATTTATATCGGTAACGATAACCTCAGTTGTAGCAATCCAGTTGTAGCGATGATTTGTTTTTTTCTGAGCGCTGTTTGAGGAGTTTGCAAAATCATATTTGGTCTTGCTAACACAGGTTTACATCAATAATATGCATGACATTTACTTTTTTTTCTTGGTATTGTTTCTGCGGTTAAATCTTGTTTGGGTTGAAGTGGTTTTTGGCTGTATGTTAGCTTCTTTGGTTGTATGTTTAGTTGCTTTGTAAGCATGTTGATGTTACTCTTAAAAATATGTAATGCGAATTAGTGGACATTTAGATATTCATTTGATTTTCAGTTCAATCTTTGTTCAGTTTTTTTTTTTAGATTTTATATAGTAATTGTTTAACTACTTGTTAACATCGATTCAATTTTTCTGTTTGATTTTGATTCTTGATTATATGCACATGCCTACAATCATACTCTTAAGATCACAGATTTAACTATATAATACTTGGAATATTATAATCAGGGATTCACTCTAGCGTGATGCTAAATTAAAAACCCGAAGACAAAATTGAATATATAATATTATCAAGAGAGAAAAATGTTTGATCAAATTGAATAGATCAAGTGATTAGATTTAAGCATTGAGAAAGAGATAGAAAGGTAACTGAAACAAATAATCATAATTTACTTTGATGCAGGTTTCTTGAACATTAAAAGGTGTTAAGAATCAGATTCTTCAACTAGAATAATCAAATTTGATAACTTCTACTATCTAACAGTCTTTGCAACCCAAAATGAAAAAAAAATTGTACATAACATTAATGATTGTAAGTCTGGTTTTCATACCAGGTTTTGACCACTTATAGGCTATTGAACCGGAGATACCAGTAGCCAGAAACAAAAGAATATTATATATCAGAACACACAAACGTTACATCTTGATTAAGAACACAAAACCAACCTACTTGATATACTTCTCCAATGTGGATTGTGAACAAGAAGGCAATAGTGAACTATCATGTTCTGTGTATGTTACGACTCAAGTTTTACCGATGAATAACAAACACTATTATGACTGAATGCATAAAAAAATTTAGTCATATACGCCAGCATGGCGTGCATTTCCTTTTCTCTTGTAATAAACCTTATTTGTTCAGTTAATAGATGTAACAGAATTCCAAAATATTTACTCTCTTCTTTAGCACTTACCAAGCCAACACAATATATTGGATTTGGAGCCTTCCTTAGTTCCATCTCTACCCAAATGTTGAAATGAGGAAGTTCTTGTATATGCTCATAAACTTGGCCACAAATGCTGACACCACCACCAACAATAAACAACATCCTTAAGCAGGATGGTTTTTCTTTTCTATATAATCAATACATGCCAAATGCAATGAAATGTTTATATACCGTCTATGTGAATTATGACTTTCTGACCTAATCTCATCCGATGTTCATGTTAACAAGGGCTAACAACATATCAACCAAGAGAGCCATTAAACCAACTCAAAAGGACCAGAACTCAGTCTCACATGAGAAAACAGATGTTCAGACAAACAAGCTAAGACGTAAGAGAGATGTATACAAATAATCTTACATAATATGCGGCCCAGTGGCAGACTTCAAGGTTTATCTCTGAGTCAAGTTTCCTAAGCAACTCATGAAGAATCCTCTGGCCAAAAGTACAAATCCATGAGTAAAAAGAAAAGAGGAAGGGATACGAGTTATAGATTTGGATTTTGTTTGAAACCTTTAGTATGACTTCTGGTGGAATGCAATTAACTAGCAGCTCGTATACCTTCCCACGTACCTGAAACAAACTGAAGAAACACACCAAAATAGATAATTAAACCAAAAGATGTTTAGATCTATAATTTCTATAGCTAAATGAGTTACTAAAGTGTGTAACCTTTTAGAGCTCTGTTCCCTAAGCATGTCAGTTGCTATTTTCAGGAACATACTCTTCCCAGTCCATTGGAGATATCACTTGATTATCTGTGAACGGATAATGTAGTGAAATAGTCAGGCGGAACACTAGTTCTTACCCTTATATCCTTTCTTTCCCTTGGTGTCAATTGGTCTGTTCTTGGCCATTTCTCTAATGATCTCTTGAACGATGTACCTGTCCTGAAAGCCTGCATCACTTGGAGTAAGTTCCACATGATTGATTCTTTGATAATGTAGTAAGCTCCAGATCAATAGTTCTGTTCTACTCCCAGCCTTCACAAGTCTTCGCGTAGCTCACCAGTTTACATTGTACCTCCGATAGTAAAAGAATTGAAGAGTCCACTTATCTACTGGGGAGAACAACACGAACCCTATAGTGATCATGTGACCGTTTTAAACATACTTCACTGTGCTTTGGAGATGCTTAAACTATAGAGATCACTTATTTTTGTTTTAATTTTGTCATCTGAATCAAATAGTCTACCGAGAAAAGAACAGCTCAAGTTTTATATTTAGTAAAGTATGATTAGTTTTATATATACACAGAGATGGATAGTAACTCAACTCTTTGAATAGAAAATTAACAACTGCTGAATTATATATATAGCTTGAAAAATGATACAGAAGAAAAAACAGTCAAATCACATTGTCAACAGCATATTATCCCCTTTCCATATAATCAAACTAGTGCAGCAGCAACATCAGCAGCGATGGAAGCCAGCTAAAACACACATAGAGGTTTGTCCTTCATAAGTTGTTGACTCAACCACGTCCACGCCCTGCTCCTGTTTCCACAACATATTATAAATTTAGCTTAAATGCCATTTTGTAGCAGACAAAACTATGAAGAATAAGATTATCAAAGATTCTGTGACAGACGGGTTTTACCTCTGTTGCCACTCATTTTGGCCATTGGAGCTCCTCTGCCACGGCCTCTGGCCCCTCCATCATCCATACCACGTCCTCTTCCACGTCCAACCCCTGGTGGTTTTCTATCTGCACATATTTTAACCATTGTTCATTAATGATAGGGACTAGTTTGAAAAAGGGGTACCATATAGAGACACGAGAAAATCATACCTGTGCGGGTCTTCTCCTCCTGTACTTTATCAATCACCTGAACAGAGAATTAACTCAATAGATAAGTAAAAGTAATAGAGAGAGATGTAAGAACATACATACAGACAGACAACAGGTTATGACAGTCACTTATAGATATCTTAAGTACTGTTAACTGAATATACAAGGATCAAGTGAAGAGATACAAAAGAGAATAATCAAAGAAACGGAGTTACTCGCTTCTTAAACACAAAACAAGTCAAAAAATCTGGTCAGGCAAACACCATTCTCTATGATATCGTCTAAAACACGCTACAACAAGAGGCAAATCCCATTTTCTCAACAGGGTTCATGTCTCTTGGAGCACATATCTGATTTGGCTAAGCATCATCACTCCAGACCAAAGAGAGTCTAAAATAGCTACAGGCTTCTTAAACACAAAACAAGCAAGTCAATAATCTGGTCAGGCAACAACCATTCTCTGTGATATCGTCTAAAACGCGCTACAACAAGAGGCAAAATCCCATTATCTCAAACACAATTCATGCCTCTTGGAGCACATATCTGATTTGGCTAAGCATCATCACTCCAGAGCAAGAAGATTTATAAAAACAATATCAGTTAAAGAGGCATATACACAAAATTACATATTACCTCATCTGGAACACGAAGGTACTTGATAGTGTTACCACGGATATAACATTCCGGCATCCTCCAGAACCTATCTCCGTCCTACATCATAATCAACCATATCTGAGTGTCAAAATACACAAACTTCCTAACTAAAAACAAGAAAAAATGGAAACTTTGTATAAATAAATATAAGAAAGAAGAAGAGGATAACCTTTGATGTGCAGATGACTTCACGGAGATGAATGTTCATCCACGTGTCACAATTTACTAAATGCCCATTGTAGGTCTCTCCATTCTTGAGCTCCACAAGCTACCAACAAAGATTCAATCATCATAAAGATATAAACTTTTAAGTAAAAATAAAAAGAGCTCCCTACTCACAACGCAACATGTCAAACTTAAAACAGTGCCCATTTAACTTCTGATACATAAGCTATCACAAAGATGTAAACTTTAAAAGAAAATTTTCATATGGACACAACTTTCATAGACTCTTAACGCAACATCTCAACCTTAAAACAGTGACTAACTTCTGATTAATACATTATAATCAAGAGTTGAAGTTTTTCCTTACCATGGGATGTCCTTGAGCAGTCTTGAGTAGCGAAAGAGGAAGCTACAAAAGGCAAAAAAAAAGCTAAAGAGTCAAACTTTGAAGTTAAACAATTGAACACAGTGCGAAGAACACAAGTTACAGTGTAAAGCCCAGCAAGCAACTTACCATCTTCTCGGATCAGATGATTTATAGATCCGTAATGAACGGAAGAACCAATAGGGAAACAGAACAAAACCCTAAAGAGAGAAACCTTGTTGGATTCAGACAGTGGGAGAGATCTCTAATGCATTGGTGGTCTTTTAGGTCAAATAGGAACTTTATATCATTCATAATGTCTTAAATTATTATAGTTAGTATTGTATGATCTTGTTTAGCAATCAACAATTCCGATGTCGTCCAGCGGTTAGGATATCTGGCTTTCACCCAGGAGACCCGGGTTCGATTCCCGGCATCGGAGATCTTTTTTTTGAGATTTAAATTTATCTTTTCTCGTATATATTCACTTTGTTAAAACCGTTAATTTAAGGTATAAACCTAATGTTAATGATTGTTCAGCAATTAATTAATTTGTATAGCTAAAACAAATGTGTAAATCAATTCAAAGCCAACAAACTATCACTCCAGTCCTTTCATTTAAGATTATAACATCATTAATCACAATTCAATCATATATTGTTCTACTTTATCTCAGGTTCTTGTATTGGGTCAAGTAATTAAACCACTTGTAATAACTTTAGCCTCTAGGCTTATAAGGTTGACAAAAAAAAATCACAGTTCAATCATATACAGACTGCAGAATGTGTAAATGGTTTCAGCAAATGAAAAGCTGATAATCAGGTTCCCCAGCTCCTCCCACATTCAAGTAATTGACATCAACAACAGTTGTTCCCAAATCATCTAGTGAAAGGACAAGACAAAATTAATTGAGTTTTATCATTCATGTGAATCAACAATCAAGTAAATACAGAATAAATGAGATGAGAGAAGGAACAGAGAGTTGTTGTTTCAAACCTTCATAGATAGTTCTTACAAACTTGACATAGTTAGGGATGAGATCTCGGTATATGATTCCATCTGGATGCGCATCAAGCACCACTAGTACACCTATGAGTCAATCAAAGAACGGTGAAAACTACAATTGCTTCTCTTGATTCAAGGCAAAGTTGTAAAAATGAACAAGAGTAGTAGTCAAAGACATGTAAGATATAAGTCGTTAACGGTAAGATACTTTTCCAGGAACTATAAACTGTTCAGGTCGTTAAAGGAACGTTGCTTTTCCTATTATACAAGTCTCGGGAATGATAAATACCTGGAGCAAGCCAACCTGTACCAGATTTGTTGGGTAATGGTGCAAGCCAAAGGATATTTCTTAAGTTAATTGAATCACCGTACTTCACATCAGATCCTAGCAGAAAGGAGATACAACCATATCACTGAATAGAGTACTTTTCCGTGACCAATTCCACGTTTCAAGAAAAGTCCAGTCACACTGACAAGAGAAGAGATTACCTCTCTGGCAATATCCCATGTTGTAAGGAAACGCTTTCTTGTCATAAGCTGGATACTCTTTAGCATGAAACCTACCATTTTTTCATTAGCAAAAGATACTGATAAACAACACTCGCTTAAATCTACTTTAACGTTACACCAATCTATAAATTAATATTGCAACAAGTGTCTCAATTCTTCACACGAATTCACACACACACACACACACACATGACCCGTGTTTACTCCAGTGATAACTCACAAGACTATTTCAAAAACCCATAGTGTATACTTTAAGTCAACACTCTCTAAGATCTTTAACATAACACTCATCTACTGTTGATACACAAACACACACAGGAAATAACTCTCGTTTACTTCAGTCTTCAGTCATAAAACTATTTCAAGAACTCACCATAGTGCAAAACTAGGAAGACAAAAGGGACTTACAATATTCCAAGTCGTCCAGATTCTGTAGCAATAAACAGATGACCATGGAACAAATCATATCGACTCAACGAAACATTGAATCCTACACTCGGTCCCCTAGACTCAATCAAACGAAACAAAAACTCGAAATACGAGTTCACCTCCTGTTCATTAGGCATCATCATCAGCCACCAAATCAGCTCAAACTCTGATAAAAACACTAAAAAACATTCAAAAACAGCAAATACTTGAGCTATGAAGTGACGTCCATAAGGAGTTCTCGTGAGTTGACTGTCTCTCCTCGGAACCTAACAACAACAACACAGTTCAAAACAATTCAACAACACTAACCTCACCAACAGTAAACCAAACTAACCGTAAAACCAAATGGGCCTAACTAAAGCCCATTAAATGCTAAATCAGGCCCGGCCCATAAAAAAAAAACCAAAAAAGTATCAAGACGAACCGGGATGATGCTGGGATCAAGCGCTCGGTGAATCGAACCGGGATCACCCCCCGAGTCAACAGCGAGCCGCGCAAGCTCGAGAACCCCCTCCGGCGGCCACCATACGAGAGAATTCTCCTCCTCCTCAACGGCGTCGTTTTTCCCCGAGCAGAGTCCAGTGAGAAGCGAGCATCGTCCCGATTCGAATTTAGGTTTACTCGATTCGAAGGGGACGAGGAATTTGAGACACGAGCGGAGCTCCCGAGAGACGGAGGGGCTGAGAGCGTACGCGGCGGAGGGAGGTCCTAGAACGGAGAGGAGATCGTCGGCGGTGGCGGCTTTGGGAAGCGAGGAGGGAGGAGGGGAGTGAGAAGCGGAGAGTTTGGCGGCAGCTGCGAGGGGGAAGGAGATGAAGACGGTGAAACGAAGAGGTGTGTAGGTATTCACCACCATCGTCGTCGCTTCACCATCGATACGACTTCACTTATTCACTATCGTCGCGTGTCAGTTGATAAAGAGTTTGTTACGGAAAGCAGGTGGCGGGGGGGGGGGGGGGGGAGGCAATCTTTGTGAGTGGGTGGAGTGATTCAATCAAAAGGTTATGTATTTTAGTGTTGGGCTTTCATGGGCTCATGGGCCTATGTTTGCTAGATAAAACAATGTCACCAATAGCCCAGTATAGAAGTAGTTTGATTCAGAGTTTGTTTTCAATCTCTAGACAAAAATTTGATTATGTTGAAGCAGTTTAGCCAAGTTAAGATTTAAAAGCTTCTACATCCGGTTCGAATTCCAAACTATGCAATTTTTTGCAGATTATGGGAAATCCATGTTTCAGATTAATAAACCTAGACTACGGAGAGAAATGTTTACAAGAAATCTTTAACATAGTGTAAGTAAATCTGGTCAAGAGAAGATTTTCATTAGAACAGCTCAGATGATACAGTTAAGCGTAAATCCTTATAAGACAGATAGTATGTCGGTTGTCGAGTCGTCTATGTAATATTTCTCATAATTGTAATGTCATAATAATTTTTTTTTTTTTTTGAAACACTCATAATAAATCATCATTATATAAAAAAAGATAGTTTGCTATTTGCTTCTTCTTCTTTTGCTTAAGGCTTTCAAATGTTTACTCACCACACGGCAGTTGATAATAATGAAAATCTCTCTCTCTATATATATACTAGTTGCATACTCCCCGCGCAAGCGCGGGGTCGGGATCATTATGTTTGCGTATATTTTTTTTTGATTGTTGGTTTAGTGGATTCTTCTAATGACACCAAATAATAATGAAAGTAGTAAGAGTGTCAAGTGAAAATATTTTATATCTAATGTGTTAAATGTTATTTATATGCGAAGTAAGGTTTATAGGAATAGTTAGGCTATAATATAGTTTTTAGTGTGTAAAAGTAGGTGTTTTTTTCTTTCTGTAAATAGTTTTTATATCATATGTCAAAACTTGATATAATTATATATTTATAGAATTTATATTTGTATTTAATGATTTATCAATTTAAAATAACATTAATTAAGTTAATATTCATTGTTTAAATTTCATTAGATAGGTTTTTATAACATTTTTATCTAGCGTCATCGACTGTGGGAATCCATTCGCCGAAGTCTGAAGTCGGTGGTGAGGAATGTTTCAATGAAATTATAGTAGTTATTAAAATGTAAGAGAAATTACATATTCATTTAATAAATAACAAAAATACTTAAATTTTGTTGTTTATTTTATTTATTTCACATACAAATTTTTTGAAAATATATTAGGAATGTGTTAAATTTTATTTATATGCGAAGTAAGGTTTATAGGAATAGTTACACTATAATATAGTTTTTAGTGGGTAAAAGTAGGTATTTTTTTTGTTGTAAATAGTTTTTATATCGTAGGTCAAAACTTGATATAATTTTATATTATAGTATTTATATTTGTATTAAACGATTTATCAATTTGAAAATAACATTAATTAAGTTAACATTCGTTGTTTAAGTTTCATTAGATAGATTTTTATATATGGTTTTTTGTAAGTTTGAGTTTTGTTCATAAATGATGTGGCATTTTTATTACGGCCTCATCGACTGTGTGAATCCATTCGCCGGAGTCTGAAATCGGTGGTGAGGAATGTTTTCAATGAGATTATAGTAGTTATTAAAATGTAAAAGAAAATACATATTCATTTAATAAATAACGAAAATAATTAAGTTTTGTTGTTTCTTTATTTTATCTCACATACAAATTTTTTGTAAATATATATTAGGAAATATGTGCAATGATTTAAATTTTTTAGCTCTTAATCTATATTATTCAAGCCTCATTAAGCTATCCACGTAGGCAGCCACGTGGGATTCATTTTTTTTTGTTTTTTGGTCGGTTCGTTTTTGGATTCATTTTTTTTTTTTTTGGGGTTCAACTATATTATAATAGGATAGTTTTAAGGCTCTTTAAGTCATTCGCGTATGCAACCGCGTGAGATTTGCTTCTTTTTTTTATTTTCCGTTTTTGCATCCATTTTTAACTATTTTTTGGTTTGAACTCGTTAAGTTTTAAGGTTTATCCAACTATTTTGATCTTTAAAACAACAAGAAAAAAAAAAACATAAAAACCTTACAAACAAAAAGCCCATATGATATTAACTCAAATAAAAAAAAATCAAAAATAAATGATGGCTGCGTGGTTTGAACTCATGATCTTGCACGATTAATTAGACACCTTATACCACTTGGCTAAAGTGTATTTCATTGTTTGTAACTATCTTACCAAGACTATAGGTTTTTAAAAAATAACTACGGGATCCACAAAACTGCTGACGTGTCGCGTTGTGGAGCCTAGAAAATCCCTTATATATTAATTGAGGAACATTTGAAAAGATGTAACCTCAATTTTGTATTAATTAAAAGAGGCTCCAATGCATAGGTGTCATTCAATTATGTAGTCAATTAGATTCAATTGAAAAGTAATTAATTCCACATTGGATTTTTATAGGTTGCTAGATACATTAGTTAGTCAAACTATATGATATAATGATATGATATGCTATTTTCTTTCCATAAATAAAACCTACGGAATTACCATAAATTACTAATATATATATATATATATATATATATAACACTTAATGATTGTTCCCTAAGATATAATTGATACTTCATTTTTATTTTACATCATTTAGTATAAACCTAAAAATTAAAAGAAAACAAAACAACCCGCCCGGTCGGGCGGGTCATGGTCTAGTAAATGGTTTAAGCCTAAAAGGAAACTAAGTGGATTACTAAATCAAAGATTTTGAAAAAAAATCAAGATTTGAGTAAATTCAAAAATAAATATAAGATAGTACATAAAAGATAAAAGCTTTAAAGAACATAGATAAAATTTATATGTGTCAGTTTTGTTAGATTGGCAAAATGGATATATAATTTACAAAAACACTATTTAATCTATAAGAATGGGATTTTCTTTAATAGCTGATGCTTTGTGAAAGTATAATATTGAAAAGAAATTTAATGTATTTTATTTTATTTAATATAAGGATCTGCTATATATTAATTAAGAAGAATACAAATTAGGCTGGAAATCACTATATGATTTCAAAAATGTTCCTATAATTTATTAGATTAGATTTGACATGCGCTTTCAAAGAAAATAATTTTTCATTTTAAACTCTTAGTTTTAAATGACAAATCTACTATATTAAAATAGAGTCACTTTTTATCTACTATAAACAACTATAAGTGGAGACACTTGATTAATTACTTAATATGACATATTTGATTATTTACACTAAATTTGGTAAATTAAATTTTTATTTCTAATCAATAAAATATATACCAAATATGCTGAAAAAATAGATTTTAATTTTACTATAACAAAACCAGTTAAGAAAAAATCTAACAAAATCTTATTAAAAGTTTAATTATTTTTATATAAAATAACACAATAACTAATAATAATATTAGATATTAATAAGAAATAAAATGTATTATAAAATAAATAAAAATTATATCATATTTTATAAATTCCAGGTTATAGTCTAAATTATATTAAAATAGAAGTACTAAATGAATTAAATAAAAAATGACAAATTTGGTACTTGAATAAACAAACTATTATTCACCCTTAAAAAGATTAAAATACATCGACTATGTATATTTTTAAACAAAAAATATTAACAGGCGTTAAATTTTTATTATCTACAACAATATCTATTTTTACTTATTTTAAAAATTAAAACAATATATATATATATCTAAAAATGAGTATATACAAAATATATATTAGTATATAACTAACTTTTAGTCCAAGTATTATTTAAAAAAATTGTATCTCAGAAAATTTTAGTAGTTCAAAATATATGAATGAAAAATAAAATTTTTCTTAATTATAAAAAAAAAAAACATATTGATAAAATATATAGAAATAACCAAAATAGTATAAAATATCATTTAAGGGGCCCTTCATTTAGTAACAAAAATTCAAAGTCATATAATCTTTCAAAATCAAATATATATAGTACTTTTTTAAAATATTTCTTGACCAAATATACAATTTTGAAAGTAAGTAGTCTAAACTGCAAGGGAAAAAAATCCAAATAATCAAAGATAAAATAATAGATGATAAAGTGTTTTTTTTTAAATGGATGTTGAGATAAATATGCTCTTTTACCAATAAAATTTTAAAAATAATAAAGATATTTATAAATAAAACAAATTATGATTTGTTTTGACTTTATCATGAAATTTACTTAAATTTTATTTTATTTTCTTAATTTTATATAAACAAGTTCATGTCTTCCCTACAAAAATATTCATTCATCCTAGAAGTCAATATATCTACCAAGTAAGTTCTAAATGACTACTAACATTTGTTATATTTTTTATTTATTTTTGAATATAATATGGTTAAAGTTTAATTTCTACATTGACATCTTCTATATATATTACTAGATTTTGACCCGCACTTTTAAAGTGCGGGATATTTTCCATTGTAAAAAATCTAATTAAAACACACTAAACATATTGTTATGGATGTTAAAATAAGAAAATTTTTCTATTTAAATTCATCTTATTTAGAAGTCATACCGTTAGTTATAACTCGTTTAAATTGAGACACTTGGTTTAATTCAATTAGACCAAGTTAGTTATAAATTCTTCTGAAGCAGTGAATATGTGTTATTTTATATTTTTATGTATAATTACATATATTACTTTATTATTTATAAAATAATTTATAAATTGGTTATTTATATATATATATATATATATATTGATTGATATAATTATGAGTTCTTTTATATGTTTTGAGAAAATGTGGGTATTAGAATAAATGCGAAGGTTTGAATATAGTTAGATAATTAATTTTTAAAAACATGTTAGCCAATGTAAAACCAAACATGCAACCTGGTTTTGATCAAATCTGGTATGAATATTTAAATATATCTTCAAAACGTTAGTAAGACCTTATTAAAAGTAGATATATATTTTTAATAACAAAAATTGGGAAGTATAATTAAATAGTAAACAAAATCTTGAGAGAATATATGATATATATATAGATGGTATAAGATATTAAATGTTGCAATACGATTGGTTTATATTTCTGATAAAAATAATTAATTGATTTATGCATAAAGGTAAGAATGGCATGATTTGTAAATAATTTTAAAACTAATGGCAAAATCCTAATAGGGATTCAGCTTTAGTAGTATAGATTCCCTATATTATTTTCATATACAATATGGAAAAATATTGTTTAGATTCTCTAACAAATATTTCAAAAAATATTATGTTGTTTCTCTAACGATTTTCATTTTTAAAACATTTTTTACAAAACTATATTAAGAATTAGGGAATAATTAAGATTGGGGAATTAAGTAAATTTATGTATACATAAATATAATTTTCCAAAAACTTAAATAAGGGTGTAGTGTTCAAATTATAATCTTATTGCAGTGCGTTTTCCCAAATTTCTCCTTTTATTATCTAGTACTTTAATATTGTTTAAAACAGAACTAACTATTATTTTGTGAAAAAAATATTCATATATTTTTCCTTTTGCCTTTAATACTTCTATTTATCTTTTAATAGCAACCAAAATATCTTATTATAACTTTCCATAATTGGGTCTAATATTAATTGATGACGTTCTTTTCCCCGAAAGAGGAAGAAATATTTTGATATTCTTATTTTCAAACAGTAAAAACAATGATTTGGATTGTTGGGCAAGTTTGTTACTATATAAAATATACTCTCTCTGTTCCTAAAAGATAGATTTTCTAGAGTTTAATAGCAACCAAAATATCTTATTATAACTTTCCATAATTGGGTCTAATATTAATTGATGACGTTCTTTTCCCTCGAAAGAGGAAGAAATATTTTGATATCTTTCTTATTTTCAAACAGTAAAAACAATGATTTGGATTGTTGGGCAAGTTTGTTACTATATAAAATATACTCTCCATGTTCCTAAAAGATAGACTTTCTAGTGTTTTCACACATATTAAGAAAACACATTAAATCACTATCGTTTTCAGTAATTTTCAATTTTCAACAAATTTTAGCCAATAGTAATCTAATAAAACCAATTAATTTTTTTCGAAACTTGTAATTTGCTCATAGAAAACATAGAATATATATCTTTTTGAAACAAAATATTTTTTCAGAACATGGATCTTTTAGGAACGGAAGGAGAATATTTTTAGGTAATTTATTTATTGTTGGACAAGTTGGTTTAACCGTAAACTAATAGCCGTTTTTAGTTATAGTCTAGTTTAAATCGTGTCACAGTTTGATTAGTTGTTACAAAAACACTTGATTCTGATTGGTTGTGTTTTATTTGGCTGAAATTAATTAAAAAGAATAATAAAATCAATGACATTTGTGGTAGCACCGTAGCCTAATGATTAAGGTTTAAATGCTTATACTTTCTACACCAGGAGGGTTTCAATTCCCGGAGAAGGTAAATGGCGAATTATCTATGTAATTTTTCATAGTTTGTAATGCATAATATAATTATGCAGTGTTAAAAAAAATCAATGACAATTTTTGTAATTAATTTGAAAAACCAAAGACAAAATTTTAATATAAATTCTGATTTAATAATATAGATTTTGATTGCACTGGCATGTAAAATGTAAAATGTAAAATGATTGCCTAGGCGATATGATCCATTTAATAAGGTCACTTCAAAACGTTCTTTATACAAATAATTAAGTTCGTGAGATAGGTTAACTGCTTATATCAATATGTAACTCTAGATAATAAAAAAAAAAAAAATTACCATCTTGGAAAAGTTAATTGTCCATGTTCATGTAATCGTGTAACTCATTTAACTTAGTTTTAGGTTAAAGGAAAGCTAGTTGCCCTAGTACTAACGAACATATAAGCAAATAACTACTTCAATCAACGAGATTCCGAATTAAATAACGAAGAGCATAGATAAACATAAGTATAATGTTTTTGTTCGACAATTAAACCTCTCACATCCGTAGCCTTAGGTAAAATACGTATACATATAAAATACATTTAAAAAGACACAACACACAAACAAACAAACAAAAAAACAACGAAAGATTGAAACAGGAGATTCAAATTTTAACGCCTGCACCTCGTGATAGTGCTGCATCCGCGGCTGTAAGGGTTAGCCTGAGCGCCACGTTGGCAGTTGTAGTAAGATGCGCCTCGTCTGGAACAGGGAACATTGTTCTTCCTCATCGCACCATAGCTAACGTACTTCTTGGATGCTAAAATGCGCCTGCTGATCTCAGAATCGAGTTCGAACTCTTCTTCTTCCGACATACAATCTGCGATTGTAATTCCTCTGCAGTTAGAGGACGGTCCGGTTCGGAGGACGTATCCCAACGCGTCTTCGTAGCCACCGGCTTCGACCCTAGAGATCACGATCACGAGAATCACGACTACAAGATAGATCATACGAGTGGTGATCACCATTTTCCTTTCGGACACCTCTGAATGGTTTCTTGGTGTTGAAGACAATGAGGGCTTAGGTTGGTTTATTTAGTCTCTTGTAATTAAAGGAAACTACTTAAAAATGGACATCTTCTTTGTTTTATTTACGGTAACGCCATAGCTTTTATGTATATATACAATTTAGAAATTGACTTTTTGCTTTGTAAATTGTATGTATATGGTGAATTAATAAAAATAGGTCAGAAGGGTAATCATGTTTACATGTAGATCACTAGTGGTCAAAGGGAAATCATGTCTCCAAAAAGCACCACTAAAACTATAATTAAATTTAAAATATTTCAACTAATTTCTAAAATAACTGTAAAATATAATTTGTTAAATCATTCCAAATAAAATAAAATTATAATCGACATACAAAAATATTTTACATTCGAAGCAACAAAACTTTATAAAACACCTTTAAAACAGCTGATCAAATTAATGCACATAGTGCTAGATTGGTAATTTAGTAGTGGAACCATGGGCATGGTTTGGCTGCAACTAGTTGACTGGTTTGTCAAATTCTTCTATCTCCACCGACGATTTTACCAGTCTCCGTTAAAAAAAATACTTGATCACTCACCGTCGTCTCTTATATATTTATTTTTTTAAAAGTTGAATCCAAATGAAGACGTGTAGGTCACTCCTTCTAAACACCACCACCTACACAACTACACGATCAGTTTCATCCCTATGGTTGACAAATTACATACCAAAGAATGAAACAAGCTAACTAAACGAGTTTTTAAGCATCAAAATAATTTATTAAAAGGTTTTTGTGTGTGAACACAATTCTTGGTGAAGATCAATTACTCTTTTTTTATCACACTACTTCAAGAAAATTAATTGTGCCAAATGTTTTTACTGTTTTACAGTATACATACATTAATTTTTTGGGGTACATACATTCATTTTCATGGTAGTCATACAATTCTCAGTGAGTGTCAGACATCGATTTTTGTTAAATATTCACATTCACATTCCGCTAATACATAGTAACAAGATGATAATGGCTCAGTTCAATATTGTACTTCGTAGTTTCAGACATCGATTTTTGTTAAATATTCACATTCATATTCCGCTAATACATAGTAACAACATGATAATGGCTGGTTTTCTCACCAGTTCACGAACCATGCATTAATATTACAGTATACTGAATCTGAGTAAACTATCAAAGAGACATAGATATAGTTGGTGACTTTAGTTTTAAATGACTGGAATCTAACTATGAACATTATGTTGCCTTGATTAGGTGGGCATTGAGCTGCCGACACAATTATAGGTGATATCTTATATATTAAAATAGAAGTCATGACTTGACTTCATGTGTGATCTTTTTAAAAATGAACTATTACTAGAAAGTCATGTTACATTAACTCTCTAATAATCTTATCATTATTATATCTTATGAAAAATCATATTTATTATAACAAAAATACGCTTAACAATTTGGTTTTGGTAAATTACTCCACACTTTCCAACTTAGTCACTCAAAATATGTCAACAGATATAAGTTTAGAAATCTTATATTATTTATAAGGAAATATGTCAATAATAGTTAAATGCATCCACAATATATTAACAAAAATCACAGATTCGTAATATGTAATATTTATATACCCTAACAAGATTTACACACTATATATACTAGATAAATTTATTTCGATGTAAATTATTAAAATTATATTATTTAAGAAAAATAATTGTTTAAAAAATTCTTTTTTAATAAAATTCTTTATAATATTAATTTCTGAAGCTATAAGTTTAGTTTTTAGCAAAAATTTCTTCGAAGTTTATATTATCTTTGCAATTAAAGTATACTAATATTTAATCAAGTTCTATTTATATTACTTTATCTAAAAATGAAATACTAATCTAACAAACAATAAAATATAGAAGAAGAAACAAACATTGAAAAACATGTATAATATAGAAAATTTTAAACAATCTATTTGATTAAAACACGTATTATATAATATTATTATGTTTGATTTACACATATTGTAAATATGTGATTACTATAATATGTACCAATTTACAAGTAAAAACAAAATATTTATATAACTAAAAATAAACAAAAACAAACACCCGCGCGGTTGCGCGGATCAAAATCTAGTTTTGTTGATTAAAACAAAAGTTTAATTAAGAGGTTGTTGGGGTGTGGTTCGTCCACATACCACTTGATTTGGTATATTTGGTATACCACAAGATTACCAAATAATCTTTAGACAAAGCTCTTTTTCTTGGTCTCGTAAAACGGTAAAAGACACCGGTGATTAGGGGAAACATTAATAAAGATTTACCAAAGATATGAAGAATCTTGTTGTTCCACCTTTTTAAAAAATAGAAGTGGGAGAAAGGGGAGAGTGGGAGTAGAAGATAGACAAGGACCACAATTTGTCAATATATCAATAATTCTAAAAGTTGTTAATGAATTTTATTTTGCCACAAAACGACCAAGCAAATATATGCAAAGATATGAAATGGCTTTCGTAGAGACAATAAAGAAAGAGTATGATTAAGCTCAAGAACAAGAATATAAACTGCATGCTATAAAGACCACCACAAGGTATAAAACTGCAAAGAAGCACTTTCCTTAAACCACATGAATCATGAAGCTCGTCGATAAAAACGTTGTGAAACATAATGAGCTCAATATGTATAGCCGGAGGCAACTCTTATCAAAGGCTTGGCTACGTGGTTTGCGACACAAACTCCAACGATTACACCAAAACCAGTTCTGCTTTGATAAAATTTATTTAACAAGTAGTGGTAATCTAGTGATAATTTCTTAGGACTTGATATGTATCCATATTAGTCACGGATTCTATTCCTATTAGAAACTATCATTATTTGGTAATATGGACTTAGGTTTAGACTGACCAAATAACATATGACCGGCTTACACTATGGCATTAGTCGAAAGATACTTCAAACTCAGATCATATAGTGTGATATATTTTTGGACTAGTTTATTCTGTAGCACTAAATGCGTTTTTTCCGAGACCAACCAGATGATCAGCATATAGGGATTTTTTTTTCTTTTCTAGTTTTCATTTTATAAAAACGTGCTTTTTGATTTGAAAATATAATACTCGCAAGTATATAACTAATTTGGACCTTCATGGGCCAAATGTATGGGCCTAATATATAGAGATTTTTCTTGTAGGCCCGTTTCAATACTTAGGGTTTCTCGCAAAGTATAAACGTGGTGGGCGTCTCGGTCTCGTCGTTTCTCTTCCCGTTGCCGCACTTGCTTTGCTTCTCCTCCACAGGTAAAAACTTAGACACACTCTTATTCGTCTCTGTGTATGCTGCACGCGAATAGGGTTGAATATACAGCTGTGGTGAATCATAGACCTCTCTAGCTTACTATAGATACCATAAGATATTTACATTGGTTATGCTGTGTTATGTCGCCGCAATCATTATAATCTTAGATTTGCTTACTTAAATGTAGTTAAATACTCATTGTTAGTGACTTAGTTATATTCTGATTATAGTTTATTACAGTGCTTGGATTTAGATTGGTCTACACACTACAAGCTAATAATCATCAAGATGCAGAACGAAGAGGGTCAGATCACAGAACTATACGTTCGTAGGAAATGGTAATACACTGATTACCTACTTGATTTTGTGTGTAATCACCACCCTCATAGACACATCCTTACTAAATAATTTGGTTATTGTGACTACAGCTCTGCTACTAACCGGATGATCACATCAAAAGATCATGCCTCTGTGCAGCTTAACATTGGTCATTTAGTTTCTGATGTCATCTATACTGGACAGTTCACTACCTTTGCTCTCTGGGGATTTGTTCGTGCCCAGGTTTGAACCTTTTTTTTTTTTATCTAAATAGACTTTAAGATGCTTATTTTCTTAATTTTTCAATTATTTAAATGCTTCCTAAATCCTTTGACCAAAAAAAAAAAAAATGCTTCCTAAATCCAAAGCAGTTGATTTGTGAATTTAATTGGTTGAACTCATCCTTGTTATATTAGCGTTTTTCGAGTTAAATGTTGTCAAAAGATGTAAAACATATTATCATTTTTGAGCAAACATGTAGCTTTAGTTAATTATTCTTTCACGAAGATTTTAGAATGACTAACTAAGTAAACGATGTAACTATATTGCAGGGAGATGCAGACAGTGGCGTGGACAGGCTGTGGCAGAAGAAGAAGGTCGAAGCCAAACAAACCTAAACAGCTTATTAAGCTCTCTTTTTCTCTTTGTTATTTAATTTTACAAGATCAGTAGACATACTGAAGTAATGATTCTTGCTTGATCCTTGCTTTAATGCTCTTTTCATGAATTTTATCTAATGAGATATTGTAAACCTTTATCACTCTTAAGTTGTAAGATTTATAATCAAATTTTCTTTTAACCATCGCAGCAATTAAAGGATCACCTAATCTATTATCAATGTAAAACCAGAAGCTTTGATTAGAGCTAAATATTCTAAACTCTCTTTCTTAATCAACTTTTGATACTTACCCTTTACCATGAGACAATAGAAATATAAAGAGCTTTTAGTCATAACACTCCTAATCTAAAGATGAAACATAAAAAATTTCCTTAACTAAATAATTGATTAACTAACATATGTTAATATAACTAAAATTGGATATTTCTTTCATTAAATCTTTAACTGAAGATATTTTTTTACAATTTATTTATTTATTTATTTTTTGAACACATTTTACAATTTATTTTTAGTTAAGTGATTTTATTACTAAAAACCCAAATATAAAAGCTTGTTGAACGTGGGGGGAGTAATCTAACGGCTGAGAGTACTCGAGTGTTTTTATTATCCTCCTCCCTTTGCGGCTCCCACGTGTAGTGACTACATACGTCAACTCATTGACAACAAAATCACCACCATCATCATTATCCCGTAACACCGACCGTTGGATCAAAACGCAACAAAATAAAATCTGAGCGGGTAACTTAAACCAACACTCAGATCGCCAACGTGGCACTATCCACTATACAACTATATATACACACACATCTTTAAATCAAACTTTTATCCAAAAACCGTAAACCGCCACTAAACCGAAAAAACCAATTAGATCCAAAACCAATGGATTCGTCACCAGCAGCGAAGCCGGCGAGAGGAGCCGGAGGAAGAAAAGGAGGAGACCGTAAAAAGAGCGTCACCAAATCCGTCAAAGCCGGTCTCCAATTCCCCGTCGGACGTATCTCCCGTTACTTGAAGAAAGGCCGTTACGCCGTCAGATACGGCGCCGGTGCTCCCGTTTACCTCGCCGCCGTTCTCGAGTACCTCGCCGCCGAGGTAATAAACATTATTAGATCTCTGATTTAGAAACAAAAAAAAAAAATGTAAATTCGATTTTGAAACTAATTTAGGTATTGGAGCTTGCGGGGAACGCGGCGAGGGATAACAAGAAGAATAGGGTAAACCCGAGGCATCTTTGTTTGGCGATAAGGAACGATGAGGAGTTGGGGAAGCTGCTTCATGGAGTTACGATCTCGAGTGGAGGTGTGCTTCCGAATATTAACGCGGTTCTTCTTCCTAAGAGAGCTGCTGGTTCTGAGAAGGGTGAGAAGACTGAGAAAGCTGCCAAGTCTCCTAAGAAGGCTTAAGCTCTTTTTTGTTATATCGATCTAGAAGAAGAAGAAATGAAGATCTTGTTTTTTTTTTTTAAATTTTTTTTTGGTTTAGAAATTATTATGTAGGTATGTTTTATCTCCGTTTGTTTTGTCTATGAAGCTAGTAGATGATGTTCTTAATCCGTTTTGTAATGAAAGAAGTATCTTCACAGTTTTAATCTAATACACCCGCAGATAGAAATTGAGTCTTTTAAAGATCTTTTATTGAAATCCGTATTTTTATATTTTACTTAAATGAAGTCAGTAGCATTAATCATTGTAGTTTTCACTAATTGTTTTGTTAGTTAAATGAGTTCGTTAAATATGAGTATTATTGGCCGGTTTGTTCTTAGCTAAGTGGTAACTAAGCTCTGCCTTCGGGGTTTAACCCCTCTCTCTAGTAAAAAGAAGAGAATGTGAAATTGGTTAGAACATCCGTAATGGTGGATCCTTAGAGAAATATTAATTTTATAATCAGTGGGTCCCATGAACAGTTAATGATTTTATCCTTAAAATTCTTATGTAAGTATTGATCCTTACACTATTCGCAGGCTCCACTATCCACGTGACGGTCTGTGAGTGGTCAATTTTTGTTTTTAAAGAAAAAATCTGAAATATCCTTATATAATCCGAAATATATATTTTTTTTTTATTAAGGATTCTTCTCAGGGATCCGCCATTGCGAATGCTATTAGTTAATTTTAGGTTTTTATTTGGTTATTGGGTGCAATTTTTCTTATTGAAACTTTGGTGGGTGCACTAGAGATCATGTGTTTTCTCTTTTCGGGGGTTTATGTGGGCCTAAATGAAGAAGCCGAATAAAATTGAACTTGCGTGCATGGTCATGTCTCTATTGGAATTTGCTTTACTTTATTCCAACCAGGAATTTTCAATGAGATTTATGAGAGTTGAAACAATTACTAATTATGAGTTCAATACCTAAAATCCATACTTAGTAATTATATTTAGGGAAAACGTTGTAGCTGTTCTTTTGTTTGAGATGAGTGATGGATATGGTAGATTGTAAAGAGCCATTGTAATACATGTCTGAAACAAATGATAAAGTCGACTCAATATCTAACACAATATATCAACCAAAAACACGGATACAAAGAAAACAACACTTCTTTTCATCTCTCTCAACGGGCTTTGTTTTTTTTTTTTTTCACAATGGGTGGTAAGGAACATAGCCCAACAAGCCCTTCACGTTAGCCACAACGTCGCTGCATTTTGACAAAAGGTTGAGCATTTGGTGAGATATGTCTCCTGCACCAACAGCAGCTGTGCTCGGGCCAGGGAAGCTTCTAGAAGGTGGTGTTGGCATAGGTGGTGGTTCAACATGATCAACTGTTTTAATGGGTTTTGAGTATTGTGGAGGGAGAGGAAGAATTGGTGGCAATGTTGAAGGAGGTGGAAGCTGTTGTTGTTGATGATGATGAACAACGTTTTGAAACTTCTTACTAACAAATTCCATACCAAAAGATGATGAAGAAGGTCCATCGTTTCTATTCGAGTTCGTTGCGGATTGTGGTGGTGGCTCGTTGGTTGCTGCTTTACTCGAGTTCTCTTCACCTTCTAACATGAATTTGACTCTTGGCCGGTTACTGCTAGTGTCATCTCCCAGTTTCTTCAGACAGGATTTGAGGTTGCTCTTTGGTGGTGGTGGTAGTTTCGGTTGGTGACGTGGCGATGCTTGGTCTACCAACTGGCTCTGTGGCTCATCGTCTTCCTTTGCGTTTTCTGGTTCTTGAGTCTCGGCTTTAGGAGCATCCACGTCACGTAAAAAGTACCTTACGTTCACGTTTCCAAAGAGAGAGTTGTTTCCCGTTGCATATCTAAAAGCAGTCTGTGCATCGGCTTTATACAGGAAGACAACACGACAGGTCGATGATTTCCAGAAAACCCTGATGGCTGATTGATCCAACAGCCCGAACCGACCAAACCTGGCTTTTAACAGTGCAGGTGAAGGAAGAGATGTGCCTGGTGGAAACTTCATGACCAGCATTGTGTGTTCCTCCACTTTTGCTGATGGAGCTGTTTTCTTCCCGGGTTGAGGCTTTAATAGTCTTGCCTGAACCGCACTTACTGGTTTTACACTGTCCTTTGCTTCTCGTTTAATCATTTTCTCAGAAGCCATTGGTTTCAACTGATTAGTTTTCTTCAGCTTCTTAGTAGCTGATGGGGTTTCTTCTTCACGATCAGAAGAGATACGTTTTCTTACAGCTTTTGATGTGTCTTCGGTTCTGTTCAAGGTCTTGCCAGGTTTTGAGAGGTTTGTGTCTCTAGCATTAGTAGTAGCATCAGATGAAGATAGTAACAAGCTTTTCTGGTAATTAAGTGAACGGAAACGGAGAAAGAATTTCCTTGCAGCTCCAAAAGAAGCAACTGATGAACCAGAGAGAGGATCCAAAGAGAGATCTTGCAGATGACCCAATAGCTTCGGCACATCAGCATCCAGACTAAGCTGTGACAATTTCTTGGCTCCAGGCTCCCCAGAAGATAATAACTGCTTTCTCTTTCTCGGAAGATTAGTGTTAGGCTCTTTCAACTTTTTCTTTTTCTTTACTGGCTCTGAAGGAGGATTCTCAGTGCCTATTTCGCTTGAAGAGCGTTTAGTAACTTTGAGTTTTTTGATTAGAGATCCTGTGGAACTCTTCCCCTCAGATGCTGAGGTATGAGAACCTCGAGGAGACTCAATCAAAGGCTGGAGAGAACTTCCAGCTGATTCGGAATCTGGTCCAGCCTCTTGCTTAAGAGGCGCCATATCTTCAGATTTCCCATGCTCTGGAGTTACTACTTCTGTTTTCTCTGCTGATTCTTCAGCTACATCCTTTTCTTCATCAAGAGAGAGCTTTGGAACAGAACCTTCTTTCCCAGGAATATCTGCACCTGAAGAGTTGGAATCCATGCTCACAATCTCAGCCTGCTCATCTTTCATTGGACTTTGAAGCGCCTCTCTTCCACCAATGCTCTTGCTTGAACTTGCTTCAACTTGGCTAACTGGAACTGTCTTATCACCAGCTTCATCTCTTCGTTTGAGAAGATACTTGTCTTGTTTCTTCGAATCCTTAACCTTTGTGGATGTTTTAGAGCTCTTCGGTACACCTAGAGTTTCTGCTATGACTAACGGGCCACTCAAGGGAGCTGGAAACAAGAGAAGTTGGAAGAGCACATCAACACGAAGTCAATACACAACAAAGCAAAGGTAAACGTAAACGTATGGACTCTCCAACATGCTAACGCAAAGTATTCACCTACATATATAAATCATAAAACTAGAGGATCTAACACTCACAAAAACCACCAAGTTTATATAATATCTCAAAAACCACCAAGTTTATATAATATCTCACATCTCTGTAACACATATGAAAGCTGTCTCAGGTCTGCACAGAAGAAATCTACATACAAAGCAAAGTTTACACATAAATGCAAAACCAACGATTTCTTGGAAAGTGCCAATACCTCTAGAGGGTGTTCTACTATGAGATTCATTCGAAGTCACCGAACTGCGCACAGACTTACTCCCAAACGCCTGCGAATACGTCTCATCAAACTCCTCAAACACAGCCTTCCTAAAAGCCAAAACCACAGCTTTCCTCTTCAAAAACCCCAAACTCTCAACATCATCACCATCACCACACTCCTGAGGCGCTAAAGCCAACCCTTTCACAAACGACACAGCCTCAACAGGCGAAAACTCATCCCTAGCTCTCACAATCTGCTCACCAGAGTAAACCCCCTGAACCTCATAATCCGGAACATCAACAGAAAAGTAATCCTCAACACTAGCCACCACCCTAAAGTTAAACGGATTCCGACATCTACAAGTCAAACCAAGCGCACACCTCCTACTCGCCTCGTCCACCGCCTCCTCCACCGCCCTCACAAAATGCTTAGCACAAGTCTGATGCGCCTTCTCAGCTAAATGCGGCTCAAAGGGGATAAGCTCAGCCGGATCAAACCAACCGTAACTGCTATCACCGAAGAACGCCACGAGGACATGATCCACTCTCCTCATGCGACGAACAGAGGGAGACGCGAAAGCCTCGTTGAAGATGTGACCTGGCCACCAAGGATGAGACTTTACTTTCCCCCAAACCAAATCTCCAACTCGGAAACCGTAACTCAACGCTCTCGACACCCCGGAGCCGAGCTTCTCGCTCGCCACGTAATCATCGAACTCCGATAACAGAGACTTGTAATCCGTTAGAGGTTGTTTCTCTAAAGTGTGGAGCTTTTCTTCCGAGAACGCCACGTCATCATCTTCGGATTCATTATCCGGACTTTTAACCTCGGAAACCCTAGGCTCTGTTTCGCTGACGTCATCTTCCTCATCATCGTCAGCAGATTTCTCCGATCTCTCACTCTCGGGAACCCTAGAAACGGCGTCGTTGGGATTAGTAAGCGACGAATCGAGATTGGGATCACTAGAGGGGGTTGGAATCAAGTTGGGATCTTCGATTAGATTCGTTTGGTGGGGAATCTCGGGGTCTTCGTCCATCACAGGAGACGAATTTGGAGGTTTTCGCGGAAATGAGAAACCCTAGAAACTTCAATTTTGAGAGAGATTATCTGTGTCGGGGTTATAGAGGAGGAAAAATGAAAGAGACGGGTTTGAACCTAAAAGAAAATGTTAAAAAAGATAAATGAAATTCGTGAGAAATATTTATATAGCGAGGGTCAGAAGGCAATTAAGAAAGTGTTTGGAAATGATTATTACGTGATAAATAAATGGTTATTATGTGTTTAATATTTGTTTGTTTTTTTTTTTTCGTTTTTGGGTCTAAAATTGATAACCAAACTGTAATATATTGAGCAACAGTATTTCTACATAGTTATTTTAAATTTATTGTCGTCATAATAAAATTTGTTTTAGACTTTTATTAATTTGTCTTGGTTATTAGATATCGAAGAAAGCGAGATACAACATGTATAGTTTCACTTTTATGAAAATCGTAGCAAATACATATATTATTAATATGTTTCAAAGATATATATATATATATATATATATATATATATATATATATATATATTTACTGTTATTCAAACGTAAAAAATACTTTAAAATCTAGAGTTATTAAATTTGTCATTTTATAAATCACTCTGAAATCTATTATTATTGAACAAAAGTTAAGTTTTTTTTAGACTGTGTTAAGGTGATGATTGTTTCTAGTTTTTGCTTTGGTTTTTGGTTTTTGTTTTTGTAAAAACCATTTTTTATCTAATCAAGTTTTAGTTTTTAGTTTTTTTTTTTTTGTAAAAACCATTTGATTTGCCAATCAAGATTTTTTAAAAAATGGGTTCCCTAAATTTTAGGAAACTAGTTTTTCAAAATTTCAACCAATTTATGAAGAAAAACCAAAAACCAACTTTTGTGAGCTTTTACTAGAAAAACGAATTTTATTTCTTTTTTGTAGAAAATAGTCAAATACTATAATTATTTAATTAATAAGTAAATAAATAGTATTGCATAAAGAGAATTTTTGCATACAAGTTTTTGTAGATAAGATATCATTTAAACAAAAATTTAAAATAATTATATCTGTAAATAAATTTTGATATATAAATATATATATATATATATATATATATTAGTTGTTCACCATTAGTTATTAATACCTATACATAAAATTATTGAATAATTTTATTTAATAATTTTATTTAATAATTTTAAGAATTATTAGACACACTAAAAATTGTAAAAATATAAAAATGATTAATATTATATAAATTCTGAAAATAGCCATTCAAGTGTTAAAAATATATATTATATATAAGAAATTATATAATTATTTTAAAATTGTAAGCATTTTTTTTTATAATTGATAGATATTTTCTGATTTATATTTTAGTATGACACTTTAAACCATCGTTATTATATTTTTATAAATTGATTGGACATTTCTAATTTTTTATTGCTGTTTTGTGTTATTATTTTAATTAATGCACTGATTATTTTTTGAAAAATTAAAAACTACAGAAAAACCAAAATCTAAATCTAAAAACTAAAAACCAAAACCAAAAGCTGAAAACCAAAACCAAAAACTTAAAAACCAAAAACTAAAATCTAAAACCAAAATCTAAAAACCAAAAACTAAAACCAAAAACTATTTCAAACAGTGGTTGATATGGATTTTTTTTTTTAATTCATAATCATAAGCAAGCTGTTACTCCAGGTATCAAATGTTTGGTAGTTACCAAGTTTTAAAAGTAAAAAAAAAACACACTGGTTGATGAAGTCTGCAAATCACCTCACTTGTAAATTGTAAAACCGTAAATACAGTAACAAATACAAAAGCCTATAAGAAGTCTGCAGATCACAGCACATAACGAACACACAGTTCAGCTTTGGCCAACTTTACAACCACAACAATACATTCTAAAGAGTTGTATAACTTCAATGTTTTGGCTTGAAATAATATAAACTCTAATTCACAATCCAAATTCCATTAACGTCTGTGTACTAATACTGTTGCAGGACAGAACAATAACAGGTGAAACAAGCTCTCAAAGAGGATTGCTAACAGCAAAACGAGAAAAATCAACCAATCGGTGCAGCCCCGTTTGGTGCATCACTGGAGCTCCTATGTGACTTGTGCTTCGATCTCTTCTCCCTTTTCTTGCTACTGAAAGAAAATGAAAACATATATAGAATAAGCAAAAACAAATATAAAGTCGTTAGAAGAATCAAAAGCAGAAAGGTTAAGAGCATTACTCGTCATGTGAAGAACTATGTCCTAGACAAGATTTTAGCTTCCTGTTGATATGTTTCATGTCCTTTTCACTTGGGTACTTGTAGTTCTTTACCTGCAAAAGCGAAAGAGAGAGCATATGTAAAAACTGCCTTTTAGAAAAGAAACTTTCAGTGGCTATGTATGCAGATGTTTTGGAAAGTTAGTGAATACCAAAGATTCGATGTCATCAAGTAACTTTGAGAGCTCTGAAGTCGTGTGCTCAGAGTTAGGTTGAGATACAATGTACTCTAGGTACCTGCACTACATGCAGTTTAGTTGAATAATCCAACCAGTAAAAGCTTTCATATAACGAGAACATACGCCCAGAGATTAAAAATAACCTATCAAAATCAACCACTCCAAGAATCCCATTTGCAATACGCAAAGCAGCCAACGCCAACTGAGAAACAACAATTTGTGATTACTTCTACTGTTAAATATAAAGCAAAACAAAAATTTCTGACAGAAGGAACGTGGTGAGTCTATTTATTTCTATTACAAAACATGAGTTTAATCAATCAGATTCTTTAATGGGTTTAAAGTATTATCTTCAACCTGATAAAAAAACAAAAGAACAGTGAGAGACAAAAGAAACTATCACCTGACCAGGAGGGAAGAGAAGTGGAGCATCTGTGAGCATAACTTTATCAACTTCTGCTGTTGCCGCTTTGAGCAAACTCTGCAAAGTAAATTGTAATGTTATGGCAGTAACTAGCAAGGCCCGGCTAAGTAAAAAAAAAGATATGCAATTATGAAGAGAGATCTACCTCCAGCTTTTGGATTTCATCGTCTCTAGCTTGAAGAAACTCCTAGAGGATGAAAAGGTAATGTCACTTTTGGAGATAACGTGAAGTTAAACAAGGATGGAACAATTTAGACAGCTCAAGAGTTACCTCCATGTTATTGACAAAGCCTTCCATTGCACGATACGGTGCAAAAACAATCAGATCAAATTCCAAACTCTGCAAAATAAAGTTAAATCTTAATATGAACACAAGAACACAGAGAGAGAAAAGCTAGGGGAATGATCTTGCCTGAAGAACAGCCATCTCATACTTGAGGATAACGTGGTGATCTTGTTTAATCCCCTTCCCTATTTCCTCAGCAGATACATGATTCTCCTCTATTTTACATGCTGCATACACACAGGTTAACCTGTTCAATGACACGTATCAATTAGCTGGGGGCAATTAACTGGCTTAATAAAATCAGACATAAACACAAAACGCTTTTCCAAACATGTTTTCTAATGGAAAGCAAATTGGTAAAGCCTGTGCGCAATTTTTTAAGGATTTTGAAAGAGCCTTACATTATTTCTTTTGGATGGTGTTGCATAACAGACCATTGCAGATAAAACCTTTTAAAGTACTGGAGGGCTGTTGCCTGCAAAAAAAACATGAATCCATCTATTTTAATTCTCATTTTATCATAAACCTTTGATCTGGAAGAAGAGCAATGCACCTGAATCTTGTGAGGAAACTCAAAGGCACTGCAAACTTCTTGGACTTTGGCCTCATAAAATGCTCTCATGAAACGTTCTTCATCAACACTCAATGGTTTAAGCTTCTTATCAGCTGAGAGTTAAGCACCAAAACATTCATTTAAAATTTTTACAAACAAAACCATAATGATGAAGATATTAGACGAACCAGGTTAAATCAAATAAATTAAAAAACTTACCGTGATCTCGTGCTTCACCTTTATCAGTAGGATAAGTTAATGATCCACTGGCATCTACTTCAACTTGGGTTGTTCCACACTAAACATTAGGAGAAGTTAGAATCTAGACACAGACTAAGGTTGCATAACAACACTTTCAACAAACCTTCTCCAGAAATTGCACTGCCCTGTGGTTAGCAGCTTTATATCTCTCTGCCTACAATCACAACACTATAGCTTAGTTGCAATATCATTATCTAAAATAATAAGCAGAACAACAACAACAACACACATAATTAAGCTATCACTAAGAGCCTCTAATGATAAATCAATCTCACTCTCTATTGCATCAAAACAAAAGCCATCAAAAATGTCACTCCTTTCTATATACATAAAACATGTCTGAGAAGAAGCAAACAAAATTAAAAATCAAACATAAACAACAGAGAAAAGTAAAACACTAAAGATGAAAACTTTACAAAGCTCTATAGAGCCTCTAATGATAAATCNTCACTCTCTATTGCATCAAAACAAAAGCCATCAAAAATGTCACTCCTTTCTATATACATAAAACATGTCTGAGAAGAAGCAAACAAAATTAAAAATCAAACATAAACAACAGAGAAAAGTAAAACACTAAAGATGAAAACTTTACAAAGCTCTATAGAGCCTCTAATGATAAATCAATCTCACTCTCTATTGCATCAAACAAAAGCCATAAAAACTGTCGTTCCTTTCTATACACATAAAAACATGTCTTAGAAGAAGCAAACAAAAATTAAAAATCAATTGAACAAATGAACGAATTAATTTAGTTACAAATGCTCATGAACCCCCAAACATAAACAACAGAGAAAAGTAAAACACTATAGATGAATACTTTACAAAGCTTACGAAACAAGAGATGCAAAAGGGAAGAAGGATACCAGTTTCTGGGGAGTGAAAACCCACTTGGCACGTTGAGTTGATGTCTGAAAATCCGCCATTACTGCAACGACTCAACACTTCCCAAAAGATTCGATATTGAAATAATCTGACTTTCTGAAGTTTAAAGTGTCTCCCTTTATAAAAAAAAAAAAAACAAAACAGAGAAAAGTATCTGTCTTTATCAAAACAGTGTGTGTTTTCGTTAGTTTTGAACGAAATCGCCGATCAAATTCACGCGACGGCGATTCTCCGTCTTAATTTCAATTTCACGGCTTCACTCAGATTTTTAATTACCAATTATTTTTTAAAATAATTTTATGAAGGGTTTAGAACTTTAGACAATGTTGGGCTTCCAGAGTTTGATTATTTTATTATAAAGGCTTTTAAGCCCAAAGTGACCCAATAAGGTATGAACAACAGTTTTATTCTTTTTTTTTTTTTTTTTTTTCATGTTTTTTACAGTAGCTATTACATATATGATCCTTGATCAATCCCATAAAAGTCTGTATACATCTGTAGATATGCATATTCTGGGGACACCTTGGCTGCAACCTACTCATCAGCTGTTATGTTATGCTTCTCTATGCACATCTGCAGTAACAAAACATTTTTAAAAGAAGTAAAATGTCAGTATCATTTACTTTAAATGTATTTAGATTTCAGTAAATGAGAAAAAAAAAACGTCATGTGAAAAGTTTATATTCTTGATTAGATTTTCATTAGTCCAAGAAAATTTTCCTTTTATATTTTTACCTGAATCATGAGCTAAGTTGAAACAACAAGATCTGATAAGTTCTCCTGTGTTTGAGGGAGACAGGCTCTGATGATGTTGAAGAAGATTCAAGCTGTCATTGGTTTGGTCTTGATGCTTCATACCAGACACTATAGATCTATCTAATAGCTGATGTTCCTCTGTTGAGTCTACCATCTTCTTCCCTGAGTCTTTGTCATCTTTCACTGAAGATGCAGCCTACAACACAGAGAATTATATGACTTTTGAGTTCTCTTGTATTTGGACAACTCTAATGTCTCTATATGTAGTTGATTGATGAACCATTCAACAAACTCAAAACATATATTATTATAACAACCTCTGTAGCAGCATCCACCATTGCGTTTGCTATTGACCTTGAACAACTGACAATTCCCATCACTGTTGGTTTCATTTCCTGAAAACCACAGAAGAAACAAAAATGAAGTTTTATACTTCAAAAACTATCAATCTCAAGGCATACCAATACCCACACATAAGGCATACATAGTCATTCATTACCTGTGCATCTGAAGTAGGCCGCAGGATCAGAGGTCGTTGAGTTTCAGTTCTTCTTGCTTTGTTATTGGCTGTGTTGTTATATGATTGATCAGTAGTGATTCCCCTGTTCCTATCATTCTGTACAGACTTGTTGAATTATGCATATAGTCTAACAAAAATGTACTAAGAAGAAAAAGGAAGATCAAAGCTTGACATTGTTAACCTGATTTTCAAGCACAGGAGTGAACAGAACAGATGCATCAGAGCTTGAGTGTCTGTTAAGCACTACTTCTTTGCTTACTGACAAGCAGTTATCGGTTTGCCTCCTCATGTATTCCAACAGATGTAGCGGCATGCAATCAATGTCCTGTAAAAAAAAGGATATGTTAAAAAGTCATATTGTTCTGCAAGTTCACAAAGAAGTGAATATTGTCAACAGAAAGTGAATATACCATAACTACTTCGACGCCCAGTTCATCAAACAGAACGTTGCACTTGTCATGATCCACACTAAGAATCTTACCATCACGAATCTCCCTTCTTTTAGGATGAATGGCAATGACTCTATCCCCAACTGATAAAGGCGGAAACCCTTCTCTAGCACCTGCACGTAGCTCTGTATGATACTGTTTGAGTTTATCTCGCTCTTCCTCTATGAATCTCTCAGAGAATCTTCTAGGTCTACCAAGAGAACTGAAAATAACATATAACATATATTATGAGTCTGTACCCATTAAATACAGGCAGTAACTTTTAACAAACCTTTTAATGACTCGAGTAAGTCTTGGAACGTGACCAAGCCCCAGATGATTTAGATAATCACTGAACTCTATCTTTGCAAACCAAGGATAGTCAATGGCATTGTAGAACCATTCAGATAAGAACCTTCGACGTGCCAATGGATATGACAGACTAGTAGAAACCTTCTTCTGTACATGAAATAATAAGTTAGCAAAATTTGAATGCGTCTTAAGAGAAATGAAGTTAAGAGACTCCACCTTTAATAGACCATGTTCTGAACTATGTGGCTTGTCTTCATGAATGGTTTCAGAAAATTTAGCTATTTCTTGTAAACTTTTCTTCAAACTCATCTTACACCTGTTTGGTGGTTTCTGCTGCAAACTCACTGCACCAGAACCTGAAGCTTGTGTAGCTGACACTACTGCATCTGATCTACTTGAAGGAGATTCTTCCGAGGTCTTTGCAGTATTCTGCTGCTTTGCTGGACCTTCTCTAGCATGTCTGGCTTTGATCAGAGTCTTCACATTATCATCTGCAGCTGATACCTGCAATGCAATAAACAAAGGTTACTTGAGCATAAGACATCGGTTTTCTATTATCAGAAGCTGGAGAGTTACATGTAGGAGACTATCTTCTTGTCCTGCTTGTTCTGACTTTTCTCTGTTATAGCTAGTGGACACTGTGTTAGCTACTCTTTGTTCTTTCCACTGTGCAGATGAGTCTGGATCCAACACAAAACATGAGAAAATACATAAAGAGACGTAACTCAGATATGTACATTCCTTCTAACTCAGATGCTCACCTAGTGCCATCAAATCAGCTGGAGTCAGTGAAGCTGACAATTCAGCCAATGCATGCAGAGCTTCTAATTCATCTACATAGTAAGAGATGGATGCCACTAGTTTAATCAGACATTGTGGTATAGAGATAATAATCAAAATTTTACTATGGTAGAACTTATATAAAGGGACTTTACACCTTAACTTATTACTGGGTTTAGTGCCCCAAAATAAAAACTTATTTACCTCTTGAGGCTTCAGTATCTACAAATATGGAGCTAGCACGGTGCTTTGATTGAGATTCCTCTGCTTGTGACTGATGGAAAAAAAAAACGAGTAGAGATTTGTCTTCAGTGAGTCATTAGATGAAGATAACCTTAAATTTCTATATGGAGACCTTCCTACCCTTGTGTATGCATCATCAGCCTCAACTTGAATATTGGCTCTTTTATTTGGTGGTGTATGACCTTCTCTGTTATCCCTCTGGTATTCAATTCTAAACGTACGTTTACCAGTGGCTCGTCTCTCTATTCCTGCATAAACGTCAGCTTGTTTAAATCGCAGAGTAAGCCTTTCTTTTAAGCCCATAGATTTTTAGGAAAGTGATAGTGACTGTACTATAAGCTTGTGTCAGCCTCAACTGTGAGAGGCAGCCTTCCGTTGATGCAACATAATGTGGTGAAATAACTTCTTCTTGTATGTCACTAGAAGGAACTTTAGCATGTTTACGGTTCTGATGTTTCCTTGATACTACAGAAGCATCATGGCCTTCTCCTTCACTTTCACTCTCATCCTACAAAAATAACCATACGAATATGTGCAAAACTTTACTAAACAGCCAAGCAAATAAATGACTCACGATGAGGCTGTAATGATCAGTTATCATTGCAATGAAGCCAGCTGCAGAAGCAGTTCCCTCGGGCAAGGACAAATAGCCCTGGAAAAGAAAATGAAAAGTAAAAAATGGACGAAAAGATATAAATGTTGTTTTAAGGTTAGCATGGAGCCTAGAGAAAGTGAGATAATCTTGTACTCATTACATACCCGATGCATAGAGAAAAGGGCTTCCACCATGTCAACAGACCGGTTGTTATGCACTGCAACAGCTACCTAAGAAGGTTTCCAGGGAAGAGTTAGGCTTTTTAAGACATTTTTGAAGTCATACAAAAGCTAAGAGTTAGGCTTTTACCGTTTTCCAATCTCTGCCATGTTTACGATAAGCTTTATAGAAACGTTCAAGCTCGTCTTTAGTCCACTGTGGTCCCAACTTGTCAGTCAATATCTTATTCTGCGATGAGTAAGCAAAAGAGAAACAAAGTTACAAAGAGAATCAAAGAGAATAAATCAAGAAAGACTCACTAGTTTCTTGATTTTGATCGAGTTCCGTTCAGGAGAGGCTTCTTTGTTGAAGTTCTTGTTCGCGTTCTTGGAGTTCTTACTAGGCTCCATACCTAGTGGTTTAGTTTCACTAGAGTGAGATCAGTACGTGGATCTTGAGTGAGAAAGACAATTGGTTTGCATCAGTAAACAAACCAAAATCCAAGAACTATTCCGAATCGGAGTCAACTTTGTGGGAACAGATTCTTCTTGAGAACCTTCTTGTGCTTCTTGAAAGATCAGTGAGAAATTCGAAAGAGGTTTTTAAAGAGAGTATTTAGATGAACTAAGAAGAGAGAGGCTTTTGCCGCGAAACTTGAATGAAGGGAAAAGACGTTTCTGTTATTTCTTGGTCTCCACTCTTTAAATATCTTTAAGTGATCTGAAACGTCCACGTGGCTTCTCAATTTATATGCACCCCTTAGAGGCTAACATGTATACCCTATGGAGAGGCACAGGTTGGATTTGAAACCTAATGATTGTTTTGGCTTATCAGAGTTGCTATTATTTCTGCCTTTGTTGGTATGGTCTAAGGCCAGAGAGGTTCACTGACGCACATAAGAAGTATGTATTCTATTTTTTTTTTTATCAAGTAATAGCATACAAAGATATACATCATGCCCTTTGGTTACATTTATAATAATACCAGACTAGTGAAGTGAAACAGGAACTACACTGCAGAGAAGAAATCATCTTCACATAGATTTCATGAACCTGTTAATGGATGAGAAAATTCCAGCAGCTTGAGTCAATAAAGATGGCTCTTCATCTGGTTTCTCTTCCACGTTCCCATATATAATCTGCACAAAAAGAAACGCAGCTAAATCAGATATGTATCCAGGACTTGCATTCATATCTTTGAATGTGACAGCTCAAATACACACATAGGAACCAAATCTAAGTATTCAACTAACCTCAAGATCCTCAGCATCAGGTCGACCAATGAGTTCTTTGGCGAGTAGATACCTGCCAGGTCTGTCTTTATTGTCATAGAACACTTTCCATTTACTATAAATGAAACCAGAACACACAATGATCAGCGTTGTAAACATTAAATAGCATCTACATAGACTTAATCAGGTAAGAAAAATCAAGTTTTGGTCTTCTTACCCAGGATAACACCTGAAAACAGCACCAGCAGCCAAAGGTCTCATGGAGTAAACCGTAGTAAAAGAACTACACGAGCCAAAGACTGGTGTTAAGTCAAATAAACATTCTCAAGTAGTTTTATTAAGGATCTTCTTGTTACCTTAGGAAGTAACGCCTTAGCTTTCTCACATTAAACCCAACACCAACTTCCTCGCTTATAAGACGAGGGTTCCACATAACCAAAGGCCTTGGCTTGAAATAGCAAAAAGAAAAATGTCTTGTTGATGTTGGAACAAAAGGTTCTTGTGTAAAAGTTTAAAACTAAGTTTTGACAGAGTTTGGTTACCGGGTCATCAGCAAGTCCTTTGGCAATTTTCTCAACATATTCAAGCATCTGGTAGTCAGGAACAACCATGACAATGATCTCATCTTCTTTCTCCACTGGTTTACGGTCACTTAAGCTGCATCACAAGACAGAACATTACTGCATCTGTTGAATAAAAACCATCAAGCTCTAAAGATGAAGCAAAATTACCTAGCAAATCCAAAAACTGCATCCTTCCACTTATATTTTAGCAACGCAGCAGCTCCAGCATCTGGAAACACAGCTTTAACTCTCTGACAAAAACATTTCAAAAGAGCTATCAAGCATCCACCAGAGACTGCATGTAAAGAAGTTTCATAAAACTGTTAACTCACCTCACAACCAGTTCCTTCAATGAGTGTCTCCAAGAAAACCCTTGAAAGCTCCCAAAGCTCAGCTTGCGCACCTTCATCGTCTAAGAACTGCAGCTGAGGAATCAACAGCTCCACCTGCGAGTGTCAAGAGTCAGACTCAAACACTAGTGACTGAAGCTCGCACCATATTACCTTCCCAAAAAAGATTATTGCTTAAAAAAAACGCTAGCCCTTACAATAGCTCTTGTTCCTCCAGAGTTCACAAACGAAGCACTTGCTTCACCTGACTGCCTAACAGCTCCCACCAAATCATTAGGCAAACAGCTGAAAAAATTATAACAAATTTGTAAGTAGTATTAAAGCTGTTCCAGTTTTTCACTTGCAAAAAGACACTATTTTTTAAACCATATGATCTAATAGACACACATAACATCAAAGAAACAGAGCAACGTCACCAACTTTGAATCATGCTTTGCCTTCACAAAAACAGAACAAGACTCAATTCCCATAACATTTCCAAACCATATGTTCCCTTTGTTGTTCCAATAGACACATAAAAACATTAAAGAAACAGAGTAAAGTGACAAACTTTGAAGAGAACTCGACTCTTTTCCTTCACAAAAACAGAGAAAGACTCAATACCCATAACATTTTCAAACCATATGCTCCCCTGTTTTTCCAATAGACACTCAAAAACTGAAAACTGACCAAAATGACAAACTTGAAATCGAACTCGACTCTGTTTCTTCACAAAAACAGAAGAAGACCCAATACCCACAACATTTTCAAACCATAAGTTCCCTAGTTATTCAAATAGACACACGTAAACACTAAAGAAACAGAGAAAAGTGACAAACTTTGAATCAAACCCGATGCTTTTGCCTTCACAAAAAAACAGAGAAAGACTCAATTTTTACAACATAGAGTGTGTTACTAAACCTATCATCTTCTTCTTCTTCTTCCGGTGGCTCTTCAGCTTCTAATGATACTTCCTGTGAAGCTGATGTGGTCTGTTCAAGAGGAGAATCAGCCTGAAACTTATCGAATTTGACACATGTTCTTAGCTTCGAAACTGGAGAAGAAGCAGAGACGCCGCAAGAGAGATAAGGCGGGAAAAATTGAGTGGTGGAGAACGAACAAGAGGTGAGATAGCCATGGAAACAGCTTGGTACTAAAGAGAAAGCCATAACCAGAGGTTCTGGCAATCCTGATATCCGTAATTCAATCAAATTGAAGTACAAACTACAAACAATCGGAACACATGGGGGTGTCTAAGTAAATTAAGATATTTGGGATCTTTTCGTAAATTAACAAGAAGTATAGGGGTTTATTATTAAATAGTGAAAACGTTTATCCTTTTTCGAAACCTTCCTAGGTGAAAGAGAAGTTTAAATTTAATTGGGCTTTAGGATCCGTTTCGGTAACCCGTTTCCGGATACTTTCCGGTTAACTAGTATCCGAATCCTTTATGATAACCCGTATCCGGATCCAATTTTTGACGCTCCACTTGATGAATTAATGAAGAAAATATATAGACGTTACAAGTCTCGTCAAAATCGAACGGCTCTTATTCATCTAAATTCAAATTCCCCCCCTTTGACCTACTCTCATCATCTCTCTCCCTCTCTGTCTCCTCTCAATCTCTCTCACTCGATTCTCTCTCTCTACTCTCAATCGCTCTTTCACTCTCGATCTCTCTCTCTCGCTCTCGTTTCCTTGGGATCTTAACGCAAATCCGCCATGGAAGGTACTATCCTCGTTTCTTGATTCGATCTGCTCTGTTTGATTCGTTTCTCCGATGAGAAAGGAAACGATCCGCTGATTTTTTTTTATTTTTGCAATTTCTTACAGATCAACTTCTACAAATCTGCTACGACGGCGTTTCGCCATGTGAATCGAACGGATACTCTGCTGAGAATCACGATCCCGACTCTGGTAAGAGTTTTCTCGCCGTGGATTTTGAATTTTAGTACAGAAAATTACTCTATTGATTGCTGAATCATTCATTAATCGTCGTATCTGTATGGAATGTGAGTTTTTAGTAGAGTTTTAGTATGTCTTATACTGAAGATATGGTGTGTTTGTTTTGATTGATTGATTTGGATGAAAACAGTGGAAGAAAGTGAGGATACTATTACAAGTGGAAGCCAACAAGTTTCTCCAGACGGTGGACCAACGCTTCCGATTTTGCAGAAAATTATTGATCTGAGTAGTAAAATCAAGGTAACATTACAACACTTCCTTAATAAGTTGTTTTTATGTTGACTTGACCCTCCTCTCTACTTCATTTGATAGGTATTGAAGGATGAACATGCGTTGGTATCAAACCAAGTGAAAGAAATCAAGAATTGTTCATTCATTGAACCTGAAATGTCAAAGGCTCTCCAGCTTTTGAGTCAGTACACCTTTTAGTTTTCTTTATACGAGGCTTGTTTTGGTTTGGTTTTGGATTTGTGATTTGATGGAAGTTAATGTGTTTTCGTGGTAGATACTGAGCTTGGGACTTTGAAGAAGCAGTACTTGGAAGAGTCATCAGAGAGGAAGCGGTTGTATAATGAAAATATCGAACTCAAGGGGAATATCAGGGTCTTTTGCAGATGCAGGCCTCTTAACGGAGCTGAAGTTGGGAATGGTTGTGCTTCTGTGGTTGAGTTTGATGCATCCCATGACAACGAGCTTCAAATACTTTCAACCGATTCTTCCAAGAAGCATTTCAAGTTTGACCATGTATTCAAGCCTGAGGATAGCCAAGGTAAACTGAGGGGTTATCTGTTTTAGCTTTGTTTTGGATGTACTGGATGGTTACAATGTCTTCTTTATGTGCAGAGACTGTTTTTGCACAGACGAAACCTATAGTTACTTCTGTGCTGGATGGTTACAATGTCTGCATATTTGCCTATGGCCAAACTGGAACCGGAAAGACATTTACCATGGAGGGAACACCAGATAGTAGAGGTGTGAACTACAGGACATTAGAAGAATTGTTTCGCTCTTCAGAGAGTAGAAGTCGGCTCATGAAGTTTGAGCTATCTGTTAGCATGTTGGAGGTTTACAATGAGAAGATAAGGGACCTCTTGGTTGATAACTCAAACCATCCTCCTAAAAAGTAGGTCTTTCATTAAGTTTCTTGGTAAATAGAATTATATCGCCCACTGTTTCTCTTTTTGTTAGAAGCCAAAATAATAGTATGAGTTGTTTTAATGAAGGTTGGAAGTTAAGCAATCAGCAGAAGGAACACAAGAAGTCCCTGGATTAGTAGAAGCTCAAGTTTTCAACACAGATGAAGTGTGGGATCTGCTCAAGAG